AGAGGTTCGTAAAGGAGTATAGTGCTGTCAGCATATCTCTCACAGAGTGTGTTATCGGTATGAAAGTCTGATGCGCACTTAGAGGCAATGTGTATGGGCGATGAAGTGTCATCTTCTAGAATTGAACCCCTTCTGATGAAATTTGCAATGCTCGCAGATGACTGGACATCAACAAGATTGTGTTCTTCGTAGTCGGATGTAGATGTCGAAGATGGAGCTTGAACGAGAGGAACTTCCAGCTGAGATACCGTGACCACAGAGCTAGTCATAGATTCTTGCGCTCGGGATCTTGATGCCGACTTGCTCGGTGGTTCAACCGTTGTTTGATGCTCGGGCAAAAGGTGAGAAATCGCCCGCGAAACGTTCCGCACTTCCTCCTCAAACCAGTCAGGAGAGCTGTAATGAGGTTCGCCGACACTGGAAGACATGCGTGGGCTGCTCTCATGTTTTGTTGACCATTTCAATGCTTTAGCATATCCTGGGCAATCGACACCTGACTTTACACATCGTAGACAACTAGGCACCGCCTCGTCGCATTTAATTCTCTTTGAAATTGCCAACATTAGGTGATGTAAGTTCGCTGAACGTTGGAGAAGGCTTACTCGGCGTTTGCAGCGAACGCAGCCACCTGACCGTGGTGAAGGTTAGTCTTCCGAGAGCCGAAGAGTGAGATTGTTGGCACTGACTTCTGGACTTAATTCTTCGGGACTGTTGAGATGAGCTGCTGCTCATGATCGCGCGATTCCGGGTGATGATACGACAGCTTGACTGACGATATCGACGTTGTCGATGGGAACAGGTTGGTGCTCCAGGACTTTGTGTGCTGCATGCTTGCACTGCCGAACAAGCATGCGGGGCTCTGGGACTGATAAGTACCCCCTCAATTCCGCATTGTGAGTGCTTTCCGATTGGCTGTGTCAATCTGGCTTATCAACTTACACCAGACTCGACTCGGGCTCGCGCAACAGATGGGCTTAGCTAGAAGTTGATGGCTTACTAGACAGGTTGTCAAAGATGATCCAATTGGTCAATCGTTGCTTTGACTTTTGTGGATTGCCTTGCTTCTTCCTTGACCTTTGGCAATGACTAGCAAACTCAAGAAGATCCATTGTTCAACACGTGCAAACTTCATAAGAGTAAACCAGTCACGTTCGGTCAAGACATGAGGATGGACATATCTCTTCAAATCAAGGAAATTGGCTCATTTAAACACAATGGTGAAAGTCGATTTAAGAAATAAACTCTGGCTTTCTGTTACCAAGAAACCAAATGCCGGACTCAAACAGTGTCACAGCCATTCACGACATGCAGCTCCGTCAGAGGCCCAACATACCTCTTCCTCGCCCGTAACAGCCAATAAAAAGCACCGAATAGCAAAGCTGCACCGAGAACAACTGGCGCGTAGTTCATGTTGAGGGCGTTAACGGGTTGAAAAGGAGGAAGAATGAGGAACCCGCATGTGAAAACTAAATAGCACACGGCAGCTACATTGACTGCCACTCCGGCACGTCCGAGGCGCCAAGGCCCCCATACTAGGGTCTCCGGACAGCAGATTCTGCACCATAGCACGAGGATGATTGGGAACAGATATGAAGCTTGAAGGCTTACTACTGCGAGAGAGAGGATGGCATTGAAGGCCGTTGTGGAGCCGATGTTGATGAGTCCAAGGAGAACGAGTAGACAGGTTGTGACGACAATGGCGGTAGTGGGAATCCCGCGTTTCCGCTCGACCTTGGAAACGACTCGGGAGAATGGAAGCCCTAAGATGCTGAGATTAGCTCTCATAGCGTCGTAGTATCAACATGCACTTACCTTGATCTCTTGCAAAAGCCCACATTACACGCGCAGCAGAAGTTATTAGTGGGATAGTCGATATGATGGCCATGATCGTCACCGCAGCCGTAAGTGCATTGGCTGCCGCCAGAGATCCAGTGATATTGTAAAAGATCTGAATGATGGGAAACCCAGTTGTCGAGTTAAGTGCCGATTCAATGTCGCCCATGCAGAACAACAGCGTGATCAAGAATGTGAAGCCGAGAGCACCGTTAATGATCACACAGCCAACCATTGCTCGAGGCACGCCGACCTGCGCGTTCTCCATCTCTTCGCTAAGATGGGTAGCCCCATCGTATCCCGCCACAACGTAGCAGCAGCTCAAGAGGCCTATACACCACGCTATACCATCATTTGACCAACCCGAGTTGTTCTCGAATGTCGCGAAGACAAAGGAAGCCGAGTGCTTTGTCGGTGATACGACAGCCATTACGATGAGGATGACCAGGTAGAAGGCGATGTGCAAAGTCATGGTAATCTTCTCCAGCAGCGGGAGAATGCTACTGCAGAAAATGCATACTAGCGCAGATCCCAACAAGATAGCCCAGTAGAGCAGAGTCCCATGCCATCTCTCGGAAGTATACGAGTCGGGGTAGTTGAGTATCAGAAGGCCCTGGATTTGGGTCCCGGCGAGGAACGGTGCGCTGCCGGCTAACGCGACCCATCCTAAAGTACTGCACAGCAGTTCGAGTAAGCTCGTGTACAAGACGCTTTGTTTCGAAGTCGCATTCTTACGTGATATATCCTGCAAACCAGCTGTTAATCGGCCCTCTCCTCCCAGGGCTTAAATAGGCGACAAAGTGATACTGGCCTCCTGCTGTAGGGTGACTGGATAAAGGGTCAAAGAGATTCATTGAGCGGCAACCCGGGTGTCCCTACATAGACGCCAGCTCTGCCAAAGACATGGCGGAGCATAAAGATCCAATGAAGGCAATCATTGCCCCATAAACTAGCGAGGCCGGGCCTCCACTAATAAGCCCTGTTGCCATGGTGCTGCCGGAGCGGATATTAGACATGCCTCGCCCAAGACTGAGGATATTTCATACCTGCATAGAGCTTCCCAGGTTGCCATCAATGATACACATGTTGCCAAGATTGCTGTCGGTGAAAAGTTTCGCTGCAGTGAGATGAGCATGGTCATCTGCGTGCGGCGTACGCAAATGACAAAGAATTACCTACCCTAACCTCTTGAGCATATCCGGTCTGTGTTTGAAACTCCCCTCCTATGCCTGTCGGCACGCTCTGCTTCTCGGGAGCCGATTTTGAGGTCATGGTAGTGTTGAGTAGCGGTTGGAAACAGCTTCAAGAGATTTCGTAACGTCACATGAGCAATCGTAAATCATTCTCTTCAGAGCAACGTTCATGTTTCTGAGGATATATAGGTTGCTGACTGAATTACAAGTAGTTTTTCGGAATCTAGCTCATCTTCGCACTGATTGATACTCTATTGATGTGCCAGGTAGACGATAGTGTCTATGGTGGTGGACGACCAACGCTATGCCCCAAATGGAATAAAAGTGCGAGCTGCAAGGGATCCCCGCAATCAAGCTAACAAGGAGATCGCAGCGGGGATTGTGAAGAGAACAACACAAGAATGTGCGACCCGCCTCCGACCTAGAGGTACATGTACTACCATTATACTAAAGCAAAGTGAAATTCAAGACGGACTGCAATGTCGCTTTCAAGTTGTCTTATCTCGGAAAGACTGAAGTCAACGCATTCCGTACCCCTTTCCCAACTACCCGTAGGCCACGAGAATCGAGATCAATCCCCTCCCGGCCGCCTCAGCTGTCTGCCGACTGAGACTCTCTAATAGTGAAGACCTAGCAGTCACTATTGCCGGTGGAGTTTGGGATGCGAACTTCAACGGTACTGGCAGAGTTACTCGCTGCCCTTCGAGGCTAGGGCCTGAAGTAGGCACCCATGCTATCGAACCAACTTATGATCTGAATCATCCAACTCGGAACGATAAAGAACTCAGAACCCTGATTGCAATTGAATACGGCGGAAAGCATGGACTCAGAGAAATGGTGCAGACTGAAAGAACGACCCAAAGGGCAACGAAGGAACCAGATGACAAGCGCTGACCAGGCCTGATGCTTGAAGAATGTGTTGATCATATTTGACTGAATTGACTCTCGACTCTACTAAAATCTGTATACCCTGAGAAGATTGCTCTCTATCTCACAGCCTTCCGTGCAAGACTGGCTTAGCAAGAACCTTGGCTGACTCAGTCTCTGCTAGAATCGTAGCATACGACCCAAACCGCACCCGGACCTCACGCTGAGGCTTGGGATCCCAACAGAAAAATCGCCCGGTGGAGCGCATTTCGCGCAAATCAACAACAACCACAGACTCAACGGGCATGATAGTTTCCGTCCAAAACAACAGGTACAGGCTGTCGCTGAGCTTCAGCATCTTGCAAAGCTCTGCGTCTGCTAGGCCTTTCTCGGTGCCGCTCAGGCAGTGCCATGTGAGAGTGCCTCTGTTGAGGTAGATGTGCTCGTAAGCGTCGCGAGGGGTGTAGCGGTACAAAATGTGCTTGCCGATGAGCTCGTCAGTAGGTTCGTAGGCTTTGACGTTGGTGCCCTCGTACTTGGTGGCGTTTGAAAACTTGGTCCATGTTCTGCGCTCGTTGGTTTGGTCGCTGAAGCCGGAGACGCAGGCGATCGCCTGACCTGTCGTAGTGTCCAGGATCAAGCTAACTTGCTCCTTGTAGTCGGGTTTGTAGAAGTCGACAAAGTAGATGCCGGCTCGTACTTCATATGCTCTGTACTCAGCATCACCCGTGACGCCGGCTTGGTCTCCTTCGAGAATTCTCCACGTGAGCGTGGCTGAATCGTGGAACTGGTGTGAGATACGGAGACCCATGTCAAACATGTGATCGAATGTCTGTCCGGCAAGTTTTGAAGACGCGGGCATAATGTGCTCCTGGAAGCCCGCTACGAGTTCTTCCAGGGTAGGCCAGTCCGATACAGGCACAAAGTCGGAGGCTTCTATAGAGGCGACCATTTTGATATGCTTGGTATGACTGTGCAATGATCTCGGGATAATGATAACAGTGATGAACAGCAAGAAGGTCACGAATTATTGCTTGCTTTCTAAATAAAACAATACGGATCCAGGCTCTTGGACTGATCGCAGCTTCTAGACATCTTGTATTTGGGTGACCTCGCACTTTTTGTCCCGAAAAGGCTTAGTGGTTTCGCGGAACCTCGGACTGTCGATGTTCTCCTTTCTCGCCGAGACACCCCATCCAGTACCTGGTCGAAGTCGCAGATAAGACGAGCTGAGATCTTCAACACGTTCGTGTAAGATGGACTAATGAAGAAAATCCATCTGAATTAGTCATTGGTTGCCGAACGTCCAGAGGTTAGTCTTATTCCGATTGTAGTTCCGAGATAGAATCATCATCTTTGGATATCGCCCACGGAACTAACGCAAATCTAATCCCGTCATGTGTCCCTCTTGGTGGCTACTGGACGATCTAGATCTTGGACCTTGTCTTATCCTTTACGGTCTCGGCACGGAACCGCTTCGTCAACTGCCGAATAGCCAAGTCCAGCAAGACATCCTCGCTGCCACCTGGTATTCTCGCACCAGGAACCTCGCGGTAGATTTCTGAAAGCGATCAAGTTAGCCGTCTTCATTCAGGACTTCGTATGTTAGTAAATAGCGATACTCACTTTCGGCAATCTCTCCCTTGCCTGTACGCGTGTAACCATTGCCGCCGAATAGCAGCACAGCACATCTCGCACACTCGTCGAGAACAATGCCAGCGTTGGCTTTGCACAAGGCAGTCAATCCACCAAGCTCCTCGTCTGCAGTCTTCTTTGGCATCTTAGATAGTTGGAATGCGAAAGATTCAACCCAAGCATACTGCGACTCGAGAATAGCTCCACATTTGGCGAGCCGATGTCGGACCACTGGTTGCTCGATGAGAGTCTTTAGATGTGCTGGTTAATAGAGAACTTGTATGTGGCATTTTTGGGGATCCTTCGACATAGACAGACCTTATCAAACGCCCTGCGCTGCATACAGTACGCAAATGCGGCGCTCAGAGCTACTCTAGCTTGCCTTGTTACGCCCACCGAGATAAACATCCGCTCATGATTGAAATTGTGCATGATGTACTTCATGCCCTCGTTTTCTTTGCCGATCAGGTTCTCTCGCGGCACCCTGACATCGTCAAACTCAAGATAGGAGGTACCGGCAACAATCTGGCCCGCGACCTTAAGACGCCTCCTGCTCACGCCGGGTTGATTCGCAAGAGGAACCACAAGCAGCGAGATGCCCTTCCCTCCTGAGTCTTCACCACCGGTACGGACGGCTATGGTTGCGAAGTCTGCCATAACGCCATTGGTAATCCACTTCTTGGCACCGTTGATGGTGTACTCGTTGCCTTTGAGCTCAGCCGTAGTAGTAATGTTGGCGACATCTGATCCTGCACTGTAATCGTTCAGTCGTTGAGGTTAGCTAGGACTCTGGTGAGGTTAGTCAGAGAGCTCTACGGCAGACGTACTCCGGTTCAGTGATGGCAATGCAGGTTCTTTTCCTTCCAAGCAGTAGGTCAGGGAGAAATCGGTTCTGCACGTCGGCGTTTGCATAGTGCAGTAAAGGAGGAACACCAAATGCCATGCCAGTAGTCAAGGATCCCGGAGGTCCGGCCAACCCAGAGCGACTCATCTGGGAGCCAGTCTGTCAGCTTTACATGAACAATAATCGAAAATGGAAGATGACTTACCTCATCTGAGTATATCATCGTGTGCAACGCATCCCACTCCTCTACCGGTACTTCCCCGGGCATATGCGTTACACCCAACTTGTGCAGCCATTCTACAGGTAAAGGCGCTGGCAATGCCGGGATTAGGAAGTTTCCTTTGGCAAACTTGGCGAATAAATCAGAGGGCACGTCTTCCGCTGTTTCCCAATCCATCGCATCCTTATGCAGATTCTCGTCGAGGAACTTTCTGCAGGCGACTTGGAATCTGCGATGTGAATCGTTGAAGTATGGTGAGGGCAAGCCTCTCAGCCATGGTGGATCTGCAAATGGAACCTGAGACATGGTATCGGCCTGCAGTTTTACGCGATTTAGGTACCAGAGAAATATGGCAGGAAAGAAATGGATATGACAGAATTGAGTATAAGACCAAAAGTGTTTGCAATGAGAGTCTCTCGAGTTTCTTGTTGTTGCTGATGGTAACACCTGAGCTTGGGCAGCTCTTTCGGCATCTCGTGCGGGGCCGGCTTAAACCGAGGTCTTCCGCGCCCCTGTACCCCACTCAACGCTAGCCACGGGACGAAGACAAGTCCGTTGACAGCGGCGGATCACCGAGAGATGGGCTAGACCAAAGCCGGATGAATTTGATCGGGCCGGGATTGACTCGAAGTTATTGATTCAGCCTGGCCTTTGAACCGGACATTGTAAGTCTTCCGAGACTTTGAGGAATGCTCTTAGGCCATAAGTGCATGATAGCATGCCAGTTTCCGCAGCAACAATTGAAGTCTAGAACAAATTCCTTTGATTCCCTTATCCAGACCAATAACAGGTATACACACCACCTTTGAAGTCATATGTCCAAGAGCTGCAAGGTATCCACGATTCAGAAAAATATGTTTGCTAGTATGTACTTGTCTATGGTAAATGAATGTGCAGTATGTGGGGAAAATATGTACAACATGAAGTCGTCAATATGCTTTGCGCTGTCGGACGTGTCTTGTACAACACCTTAGGTCTATGCGCCAATGTAGAAGTCGATGCAGCTCTCGTAAGTCTGCTTGTTGGTCTCGGCATACCAGAACCACTGGATCGCGCACTTGCCACCAACGTCGCAAGCGGAGGCAAGGGTGTCGGGGATGGTGATGTTCCAATCAGCTGTATGTCTGTCAGTAGGAAGCACACGCAACTTGGCTGATTTTTGTATCCACTTACTATCGGCCAACGGGTCGGGGTCGGTGGTGGGCCAGTCAGACCACGAAATGAGCGGCTCGCCGATGATGGTGTTGTTTGCAAGATCAATTACGGAGACGTTCTGTCACCAATGTCAGTACATGCATTTCTCTCATCGATGTGCAGGGTTTAGCTTACCGCGTGTCCTGGTCTGTGTCCAGCAACAAGGTCAATGTGGAAAGGGATGACTTCGCCGGCCTTGACGACGCGAACGTTGTCCTCGTTATCTTCATACTGGTAGCCACGGCATTGGAATAGGTTGCACTTGTAGTCGGCATCCGCTACTGCAAGGGAGTTTTCGATAGGTCCGGCGATATCGCTGTCCAGTTTCTTGGTTACTGCAGCTCCGCAGAGCTCTTCCTGCTTGGCGCCAGTCTACAACCATTTCATTAGCTCCAACTTTCGGTGCGCGACCACATGGTCTCGGGATATACCGTTCTGGGCTCTGGGGTCTGAACGACACCATGTCCAAGGACGCTGGTAGCCAGAGTTGCAAGAATGGCGTGCGTGAACAACATTGTGGAGAGAAAGCCGGATGAATGATGCCGTTCGTGGAGTTGTATTGGTACTAAAGTGCGCAAAACTGCTCAGAGATTGAAGCCGAACTTCCGAGTGTAGACCTTTAAGAGTCTTTAAGACTCCCTTTCAAAATTGGTCGCATGTTTTAGACATCAAGATTAAAGTGTCAGATGGATCGACGACAAGCAGAATTCTGCCGTTGTTTAATCAATTGCCCGCGTGGCAGCCCCCATTTTCCGCCAATTCTCCACAAATGGCAGGCCTGTGGTCGCCAATCATGCCCTTGAGTTGATTAACATGCGGCACTTGGAGACACCCACCGGCAACCCACTACACCCCTTGGTGGAACCGCAGAATCAGAAAATGGCATGGACAATTGGTGGGATTTCCTGACAGAGCCCGGGAAAGAAGGAGAACAAAAGGGGCCGGAAGTTGTATGAGAACGGACGCACTCTAAAGAGAAAGGGGCGTGAAACAGGGCAATGAATGTTCTACGCCAAGACTTAAGGGCGGACCATCGGCATCATGAGAGTCTTGGATCTTTCCAAAGGAACTCATGGCCGTTCCTGACTAAGCCTCTCAGGAAGACTAGTGTGCCGATGCAATGATAAAGTGCTACGGGAATGAAAAACCGTACTTTTCGAAATTTGAAAAAGCCAAAATCATACCAAAGTTTTCAACGCTGTGGCTATATGAGTCGTGGGGAGGATGTATCATTGATTGAGACCGTCATGACAGACCGTCATGGCCCCTAAACTTGAGGTGCTGTTGGAGGCTTCTGATTCAATTCCTAATTGAAGCTTCAGGGGGTTGCCGGCAGAGAAGGTTCCCCACGCTGTTGTTACCCTGAGGCTCTAGCAAGCCGGGTACCACATGTATATCTGGAAAACCAACAATAAACATGTTTCATTGCCTTGAATAGGTGAGTCGGTATGAAAACACTCAACTCAAAGAGTAATGATGCCATACAGGACGTGGGGAGAGAGTGCATATAAATTGTCTTGACCGTGGATACCACCACAACTCAAGACGTGCCCAGGTAAGTAGGTAGGCAAGCTTGATTGATGATTGACGTCTGCTGACTACACTGAACATCAAGCGACACCGCAGGACGATGACATCTCCAGGTTTCCCTTAAGGAGATTTCAAAAATTATGGCCCGTTGCTTGGTCCAAACCCCAAATATCCTAGTTTAGTCAAGTATTCTCAAATTGCTACGCAGATGTGGAACTTGGAAGTTATTGCTGGGTTTGGTCCTCGCATTTAGTCGATGAGACTGAATCTTAATTTATGTCTGTCAATAACTAACAACTTATTCGAGGCTTGATACGAGTTTCTAGACAACGTTCACTCTTATCTGCAATGCTGACAAACTCATGCATGAGCTTGACGTCATTCCTGAATCCCCGCGTTGCTGCCTAACTGATAAGTTACTTATTTTCTTGGAAGAGTGAGCCACTACTACCATTGAGGACTGCGATGCATGCTGAGGACAGTTCTTCAAACACAACAAAGAGTTGAACGGCGCACAACCATTAAGGAAGCACTTTGGCAGAAGTCTACACACAAGCATACTTAGTTACTTTAGGCATCCACAATCGACATGTCTTTAGATACGCCGCGCTTCATTCCAACCCCAACTTCTTTGGAGGGTTATGCTCCGTTCAGCCATGGAGAGAACCAAGAGGATCGTGTCAAAGAGTTGTTGACACAGATCATTCATGCTCATCCCCCTCTGAAAGCATACACGAAAGAACAATGTCGAGGCTTTTTCCGCGGTCCGACATCTTTGGCATATCTACTGCTTAGAGTCCATGAGTCTCACCCCGAAATCAGGGTTCAGGGTCAGTCACTCCAACATTGGGCAGCCGCATATATCGCGGCCGAGCGTGAAGCGGGAGATTCAGCGCCTTGTGGCCTCGCATGCGAAAGCGCTGCCTTTTGGGCGGTACAGACCATTCTGGACGAATCAAAGGGGCCAAGGTTTCAAGAAGTGCTGGAAAGGCTTGCTGACGAAGACAACCACCCATATGAGCTACTTTTCGGCTATGCTGGTATCTTGTACATGATCCGCGCCGTCGAGTCCGCGGTACGTGTTCTAGTTGCGATGTTCTACTCACGTTCAATGTGAAGTTGACAATGGCATACCTCAGAGTTCGGAAACGGCAAGTCAATTTGATACCGCTAAAGCTCGAATCGTCGAAAAGACACTTGGCGCAGGGCCCTTATGGACGTGGCGCGGGAAGCGCTATATCGGTGCCGTCCACGGTGACATTGGCATCTTGACCCAACTCATACTAACGGACCCGAAGTTGGCGGAGAACCCGATGATCCGGGGTTCACTTGAGCGGATGCTTGAAGTACAAAGAGAAAATGGTAACTGGGAGACGAAAGACGACCCAGGTAACACCATCTACGAGGGCCTTACTCAGTTCTGCCATGGAGCACCTGGATTTGTTCTCTCACTCGTGCACCTTGAGAAGTTCTTCCCAGACTTGAAGGAAAAGACTGGCAAATCTCTTCAACTTGGCAGAGAGTTCATCTGGAAGGAAGGCCTTTTGCGTAAAGAGCCTTGTCTGTGTCACGGAGCACTCGGTAATTCTCTGTGAGTAAATCACAATAACCTCGGTTTCGGATTTTCATCCTGTCACTTACACTTTGGACAGGGCCTTTCCGCCGGGGAAAGAACGGGACCACTTCCTGGCTTGGTCGCTGCCGTCCAAAGTTGCGGAAGAGCACGAGCGGAACAAGACGCTTTTCGCACCTGAGGACGGGGCGCGCCTGGCGACATTTTTCGACTACTTGCCTAGCGCAGCTTGGACGTACATGGTTTGCGGGGAGGAAATTCCCGGCTTCATTCTCTACACTGACGTGTAGGTATCGAAGAAGCGTGTTATGCAGAGTAAGGCGGCGCAGCTCTAGGCAGTGAAAGTGACTACACGTGGGCTTTTCAAGTCTCGGTCATTGGATACTTCATGCTATAGGGGGCCCTTTAGTTGCGAATGAACTTTGTAAAAGAGGTAGAGAACGTTAAACGGGATCGTCGTCTGAAGGTTAGACCCCGACTTGTTTCATTGCCACAACTCTAACATGAATGTGGGCTAATCACTACTCCGACCATTAAGTATGTATAAGGGTATTAGTCTTTCAATTATCTGGCATCGACCCCGCCGTCATTGCGGCGGAAAAGCCGGATGATCCGGCGGACGAGTTGCAGATCTCACCACCACGGTCGTTGTGATTGACCCATCAGGTCCGTGATCCTTCACTATCCTAAATTTCTCCTCATCCGGCAACTCCGAAACCCATGTGTCGGACGTGCAAGATCTCTTGATCGTAGTTCTGCTGTACGCAATTTCGAATTCCTTCTCGACCATGATCATTTCAAGGCCTTGTGGAGAGAGGCTAAAGTCTCTTGCGGCCTCGAGGTCACCGCAAGTAGGACCAGGCCATAGCTTCCTTCTTGAGGCGGTAGAGGTCGGTGAGGCCGGGATAGTTGGAGATGGTATTGGTGTTGAGAAGTGCCCAGGGAAGAGATGATCTACCAACGGCTGTAGGGCTGGAATACAGGCAGCAATAATAACTACGTCTGCCTCAAGACTGCGTTCAACGTCAGTTATGGTTCGTTCGCCTGAGTATTAACCTCAAGAAATCCTTGAGCCTTCATCTCGTTCCTCAAGTTATCTCCTGGGTATCATCGTCGATGTCCTACCTTGTCCAAATTACAAGGTCCGCTGAGTCGTCTATATCCAATAATCAGTCCTCACGCACGTCGATCAGAAGTATTCTTTCACTCACAAGTGAAGTCGGGGCTTCCCAGGGACTTGAGTCTTGTGCATTTGAATAAAGCGGTAAATAACGCACTAGTAGACATGTAAGTTAGTTCCCGATATCTCCATTGTCTCAAAAACTATTATAAGAGTCTCGAGGTCGTGCTAGAGAGGTATATCGTCCCCGGGCTTGACTGACAGTAGACCCAAAACAAGAGAAATCGTGATAGCTAGTCTTTTTCTTCGGGCGATCTTTAGCCTTCGAACGGATAATGCCACGTAGATGGCGAGGTAAGCATTCGTAGCAGCGGATATGCCTAGATGTGTTCACGCTGGTCAGCCAATCCGTTCTACATCCACCCCTAGCTCGATACAACTAAACCCACCACTTGTTGATATTGAGTATGCAACCGCTCTCTCTGGGCCTAGACAGGCGGTTTTCGTGTACGTTATATTCACCACAGCTTCTTGCGGACACTCCGCAAACAGCCCGATCACGTTTCCGAGCAATCCTACGCAGCATAATAACCCCAGTGTCCAAAGGAAAAGTCGGTGGAGTCGTCTCGGGTTGAGTAGTCGGTTCATCAGCGCCACTACGGCGAGCTTCGGCAAAGCCAGCGCAATGATACCAAAGCCAAATGAAAATATCGTCCATCTCAGTGTCTCTTCTTTCTGCTCATCGGTGAGCATATTAACGTGTTTCCCGTTGCCGAGCGCGACAGCCTTTAGCGTCGTCCCAGTCGCCGTCCATCCCGCCACCACCGCTGCAAGGAGAATCCCGTCGTCATATTGAATCCGGTGCTGGATCCATCCCTTGACGTACAGCCGCGCAAACGCGAATAACGTAGATATGATGGTTGTCGGAATCACTGTTGCTACGATTATAGCGCTAATGTCGTGGTTATCGACGACATCGTCAGAGGGGTCGACGTCGCGCGGGAGTATGGGAAACGGTGGTATCGTCGCTCGGGTTATCGTTTTGTACAGCAAGTACATCATACGCGCTGTCGTGGTGTCATTCGATCATTGAGGCAAAGAACAAACATGGCATTCCCACATACGGTCGTATTCTGCCAGTTCGGGTACAATAATGTGGGACGACGAGAATTGGGTAAAGGATATTGGGGAAAATGAGGGGGGAAAGTAGGTACAGCAGGTCGTGAGAGAAAAGAGTAAAACTCGAAACCTTGTTCTAGAAAGAGGACGGGATCAAGCGCATTGTCTCACGGACATTGGCAGCCACAGGCGATAGGTCGCAGAACTGCGTGTATGAGGGTGAGCCCATTCGCCATCATCCGATTATATGGTTGGGTGAAAGGAAACTTAGTTTCTTCGGCCTGGCGCCGTTTCCTTCAGGCGGAACAAAATCTCCAAGCCAAGGAGG